AGTCCCTCGGCGAATACGAGCGGAGCCGCTGTCCTTCACGCCCGGACACGCGTGAAGCGACCCTCGAGCAGTGGCGCTCGCGCCGACAGTCGTCTGATCGTGATGCGTCACTCCTCCTAAGCGATACGAGGTCAACAAACATGCGGTCGCATCCTACTCCCAGACGACTGTCGCCTTCGCCCAGTGGCGTGTGCGCTCTCGGCCCTGCTGTAGAGCTCTGCCTTTTCTGGGTCCCCGTCTGGCGCGTGCGCTCTCGGCCCTGCTGCAGAGCTCTGCCTTTTCCATGTCCCCGTCTGGCGTGTGCGCTCTCGGCTCTCCTGCAGAGCTCTGCCTTTTCCATGTCCCCGTCTGGCGCGTGCGCTCTCTGCCCTGCTGCAGAGCTCTGCCTTTTCCATGTCCCCGTCTGGCGCGTGCGCTCTCTGCCCTGCTGCAGAGCTCTGCCTTTTCCATGTCCCCGTCTGGCGCGTGCGCTCTCGGCTCTCCTGCAGAGCTCTGCCTTTTCCATGTCCCCGTCTGGCGCGTGCGCTCTCTGCCCTGCTGCAGAGCTCTGCCTTTTCCATGTCCCCGTCTGGCGCGTGCGCTCTCTGCCCTGCTGCAGAGCTCTGCCTTTTCCATGTCCCCGTCTGGCGCGTGCGCTCTCTGCCCTGCTGCAGAGCTCTGCCTTTTCCATGTCCCCGTCTGGCGTGTGCGCTCTCGGCCCTGCTGCAGAGCTCTGCCTTTTCCATGTCCCCGTCTGGCGTGTGCGCTCTCTGCCCTGCTGCAGAGCTCTGCCTTTTCTGAGTCCCCGTCTGGCGTGTGCGCTCTCGGCCCTGCTGCAGAGCTCTGCCTTTTCCATGTCCCCGTCTGGCGTGTGCGCTCTCGGCCCTGCTGCAGAGCTCTGCCTTTTCCATGTCCCCGTCTGGCGTGTGCGCTCTCGGCCCTGCTGCAGAGCTCTGCCTTTTCCGCGTCCTCGTCTGGCGTGTGAGCTCTCGGCTCTCCTGCGGAGCTCTGCCTTTTCTGGGTTCCCGTCTGGCGCGTGCGCTCTCTGCCCTGCTGCAGAGCTCTGCCTTTTCCATGTCCCCGTCTGGCGCGTGCGCTCTCTGCCCTGCTGCAGAGCTCTGCCTTTTCCATGTCCCCGTCTGGCGTGTGCGCTCTCGGCCCTGCTGCAGAGCTCTGCCTTTTCCATGTCCCCGTCTGGCGTGTGCGCTCTCGGCCCTGCTGCAGAGCTCTGCCTTTTCCATGTCCCCGTCTGGCGTGTGCGCTCTCGGCCCTGCTGCAGAGCTCTGCCTTTTCCATGTCCCCGTCTGGCGCGTGCGCTCTCTGCCCTGCTGCAGAGCTCTGCCTTTTCCATGTCCCCGTCTGGCGCGTGCGCTCTCGGCTCTCCTGCAGAGCTCTGCCTTTTCCATGTCCCCGTCTGGCGCGTGCGCTCTCGGCTCTCCTGCAGAGCTCTGCCTTTTCCATGTCCCCGTCTGGCGCGTGCGCTCTCGGCTCTCCTGCAGAGCTCTGCCTTTTCCATGTCCCCGTCTGGCGCGTGCGCTCTCTGCCCTGCTGCAGAGCTCTGCCTTTTCCATGTCCCCGTCTGGCGCGTGCGCTCTCTGCCCTGCTGCAGAGCTCTGCCTTTTCCATGTCCCCGTCTGGCGCGTGCGCTCTCGGCTCTCCTGCAGAGCTCTGCCTTTTCCATGTCCCCGTCTGGCGCGTGCGCTCTCTGCCCTGCTGCAGAGCTCTGCCTTTTCCATGTCCCCGTCTGGCGCGTGCGCTCTCGGCTCTCCTGCAGAGCTCTGCCTTTTCCATGTCCCCGTCTGGCGCGTGCGCTCTCTGCCCTGCTGCAGAGCTCTGCCTTTTCCATGTCCCCGTCTGGCGCGTGCGCTCTCTGCCCTGCTGCAGAGCTCTGCCTTTTCCATGTCCCCGTCTGGCGCGTGCGCTCTCTGCCCTGCTGCAGAGCTCTGCCTTTTCCATGTCCCCGTCTGGCGCGTGCGCTCTCTGCCCTGCTGCAGAGCTCTGCCTTTTCTGAGTCCCCGTCTGGCGAGTGATGAGCCGCTGCCTATGGTGACTGCCAGCCCGGGCCCTAAGCCGCCGGACCAGAGGTACTCCAGAGCCGCGGGAAGCCATGACATTGCCACGCGCACGCGGCGAGCGGGTGAGGCATTTGCAATAGGCTCTTTTCATTATTTCCTGGTTGCGTTGGAGGGTGAAACATTCCATTCGGTTTTAATATTTGAGCCGATGAAGATACCCATTACGCAACCATTTCACATATTGGTAGGCATAAATAAATGAAAGGCGACACACACATTGGATTGCGAAAGCCACGCAAAGCAAAGGTTCTCAGCATTTTCCTTACGTAGACCTTTGACGACGTAGATAAGGGGATCGCCACAATAGCATCGCAAAGTTTTATGTTCGGCGTAAATGTTGTAAATGCACAGATGACCACAAGGGCGGATCTAGGATTTCGTCAGGGGGGGGGGGGGGGGGGCACGCAACATTGCGGGTTTCCTTGAGGCAGGGCCCCCCTCACCCAAAATGATCCTCGTATTCCGGTCATTAAATTTCAAGATTCCCATGCATGTTAGTTGTTGTACGGGACCCACCTCACTGTATCAAAATTTGCCAGTCTACCACGGACTTTGGGACCCTGCCTCGCTTACAGCCGCTAACATTCTCCACCGCTTGCTCAGTGCCTGTCGTGCTTCATCCACCAGCTTGACAGCGAGGACAGCGTCTTGGTAGACTTCTGAAGCTGTACTGACAGCTGCCGCGTGATGAAGCCGACGTCCGCCGCCGCATGAAGCGAGATGGGGAATTCTACGCCCTTCACAGAGCCCGATAGCTGCTGCGCTTGACTTGCTGTGGAGAGTCTCCCCAGCTGGCCATCTCTCCTAAAGCCTCAAGGACGGTGTCAGTCAACTCAGTGAACCTGTCCAGCGCATCGTGCGGTCTACCCAGCAAGTCTCGCACAGCTGCTTCAGCCGCAATTTGTTTCTTGGCGTCTGGCCGAAAATTTCGCAGCGGCCTGCAGCACAAAGTTCCTCTTTGGTGTCTGGAAAAAGTTCACCACCTCTCCTAAGTCCCCAGCATGTTGTCGATGCTTTGTTGCCTCGAAGCCGCGCCTTTACTCAGATTCAGGATGTGGGAGGCGCAGTGCACGTATTCTGCAAATTTAAATTCCCCTCGGATCACTGCCGACGCCCCTTTAGCAGCATCAGACATGTTTGTCGTTCCGTCGTATCCCTGACCGATTCAGTTGTTCAGGTTCAGCTCCATGTTCTGCGCAACTGTCTGAATCACAGTACCGAGGACCTCGCCTGTCAGTGCTGGCTCCACAGCAGCTGAGACAAATTCCTTGGCACTCTCGAGCCGCCTGTCCTGCTTCTCTGCACAGGACACATCGACGACGTCCACGAAGGGCGGGAAGTCCTCTCGCGTTCCTCTCTTTCCTATTTAAATGGGGGCCCTACGCTTTTGTCACAGGGCCCCACCTGTGAACCTCTTCAGGCATGGTTGATCGCTCGAGGCGCTCCACATTGAGCCTTGGGTGCTTCTTACCTGAATGAAGGACGCTTCGCTCTTGTTCGGGAGGGCCCATCTGTTAACCCGCTTGGGCACCCTCGATCGCCCGAGGCCCCCCCCCCCCCCAAACATTGGGACTTGGGTACGTCATTTTTGCTTGCAGGGCCCTACGCTCTTGTGAGGGGCCCATAAGTTAACCTGCTCAAGCACACTCGATCGTTCGGGCCCTCTAAGGCTCTAAAATATCCCCAATCAACCCCCTTTCAACCTGCAAATGAGTATTTGTGTGTGCTCGTGGGCCTTCCACTTTCGCTTGCTGTTCTTGGTCGCATGAAGACCCAAAGTCGTCTAGTTTTGTTGAGTTTTGCGCTAAAAACTGTGTCTGTTCGGCCAGCTATGGTCCCTCCGGAGCTTATGAGCCCCTTCGGGGCCCCAACGGGGCATGACCCCGTGGCTCCCTCTCTGGATCCGCCCCTGAATGACCAAAGTCCTTGCTTTTAGTTATCAGGTATCAAACCTCCGTAAAAAAGGGTGGTTGTACGTTGTGGCCATTGCGTGTGCATTGTGTTTCTACTTGGATCAGACGCGGAATTTGGACGAGCAGCACCAAGAGCGGGTTAAGCAACGAACTTGAGTTGTCAGTGGTGAACGTGACAACCTTTTGAAAACCGTGCTGAAAGCATGGAATGCGATACCTACGTTTGGGAACCAGCCGCCGAATAGTGTTAACGCGTTGAAATAGCTGTCTATCGCTCTGAACAGGAAGTAAAGAAAGGTGTCGCTATTTTGGTAGCATTTGACGACAATAGCTTTTCCGGTAACGGCCACCTACGGAATATATGGTTGTGACTGCTTGGAGACGGACTCCAAAAACAAAAAGAGAGCACCTACTTCAGTGCAGTCTGTTCTCTCACATGATGCCACATATGGCGTGTTTTTTCTCGCCAACTTGACATAACTTTTTTGAACTACATTAGATGTTTATAAACCGTTAAACGAAATCGGCCGACGGCTCTTTACGGCTCCAGGCCATGCGAACTCACCAACATGTCTGATGCGTAGTGAGACGACCTTGGTAAGACCGAGGACGCACAGAAATCAAGATAAAAAGCGTGCCAGTGTTGTCCACATCTCTCGAGTCCGTATGGCGTCGCGATGACAGGCAGAGTACATTTGTGTGACCTTACCGACCGAGGACGAAATCAGATCACTTAGCCGGAGCCGGCCTATAATGAGTATTGAAGCAGGCCGGAGCCGCATGACACACGGCGCTTCTGTTGATCATATTCGAGAGCTGTTGTACATGCGTTAGCTAGTCATGAACGGTACGCAGCCAGATCACGATGAGAGTGGGCAGTTACCTTTGTACATGCGTGCTTCTGTTCCAGTAAAAACCAGTGTTTCATCGCCAGGAAAACTCTGTTATGCAGACAAATTTGATGCCACAAAACAAAAATATTTTATTCTTGACTACAATGACATCAAATGAGTCAACAAAAAATAAACATCTGAAAGCTTAAAAAAAGCTGCTCGCAAGTGGAAGGCCAGCAGCGATAACAACAAAAGGCAACGGAGACAGACGACGAACCATCAACAAAAGGCAGCGGAGACAGACGACGAACCATCAACAACAAAAGGCAGCGGAGACAGATGACGAGCCATCAACATAACCTGGTGTAGTTTCATGTCCACTCCGCATAATATTAAAACTTGAAAATCCTGAAAGCACCACAACCCATATGCGTTGTACCAGATGATGATACATCAGATAATGTTAAAGATGGATACGGGGCAGCTGCCGTAGCGTTCTGAGCAGTCGCCGTGGAAACTACCATGCATCCTTGCTTCTGCCAACTCCTCGGCGTCAAACCTGGGATAAAGAAAACAAATCTATCAGCAATCAGAAAAATACGGACATGATTCATACAAATATTACGGCTATTAACAGAATATCACGCAGGACACCAAAAAACTCACTATTTCTTAGTGTCATCGTCGCGATAAGCGTATTCTTTCCACCATACATGCAGTCCACCCGGAATGAAAGCCACGCATAACATAATATACTAAGTGATATGGGTCATTTCACGGTTCCGCTTGTTGCCAAGACAAAATTGACTCGTAAGACGTGCGGTTGCTGCAGGCTTTAAAAAAACAACAGTAAATTCTCTTTCTTTTTTCCAACCCGATTGGAAGTGAACATTGTTTACTGTCGTCGAAAATTTAAACATTGTTGAGGAACCAAAGGGCACCTCAAGGTCTGCACACCTGCAGGCACCCAACACCATCATGTGTGAGACATTTCTCGCAGTATCGCAACAACGGTCAAGCTCTCAAGCCATGTAAGAGATGCTGTGCGCCGATATCTGTGTACGGAGCTGTTATCTGCGCAATCTCAGCCGGATCAAGATCCGAGACGCTGCTTTGCGACGGAGGCTGTATCTGATGGATTGCCAAATCTCTATGGCTTAAATGACTAGCGCGGGCGGTCTTCTGGGCTCCGCCGATAAGCCTGCGCCAAACAAAGCATTTTCAACTTCCGTAGATTAGGCAACGAACCTGTTGGACCGCGCATGTACGATAACACGCTTGATATATTTTTCCAGTCAGGTCGTTATTCAGTGCTTCAACAATAATTAAGCCTGCTTTAGGGGACTGACTAGTTCGATCAAGTTCAGGGACAACAAGTTGGAAAGATATGATATTAATTACGACCTAGAGGCCATCATAATGCATTTGTGTCAGCTACAATATGCTGTACTGGCGTACTCAACACTTTGTCCGAGAAATAACGTGCACGGAATTGTTAACATGCTCAAGATACAAGTACAAATACGAAAATTACTTTGTTTCTGTAATACATAGCTGCCAAACCAAAATTATTAAAAGCAGAGTGATGGCCTTATGACTTAAATCTAGTAACAAAACATGCAGAAACTCCCACGGCAACGGTCAAACCTTGACACCCCCCTATACTGACCCCCCCCCCTACACTGACACCTCCCTACACTGACACCTCCCTGCACTGACACCTCCCTACACTGACACCTCCCTACACTGACACCCCCCTACAATGACACCTCCCTACACCTCCATACGCTGACACCTCCCTACACCTCCATACACTGACACCTCCCTACACTGACACCTCCCTATACTGACACCTCCCTATACTGACACCCTCTACACTGACATCTCCCTACACCTCCTTACACTGACACACCCCTACACTGATACCTCCCTAGACTGACACCCCCCACACTGACACCTCCCTACACTGACACCCCCCTACACTGACACCTCCCTACACCTCCCTACACTGACACCTCCCTACACTGACAGCCCCCCCACACTCTGTCGTGTAAACACACATTCACTGTTGGGAGTGGTGGGACTGGACATTTCGACTGCTTGGAGGACAGAAGCTCTTGATTAGTTCTTGATCTTCCCTAGGTGCTAGACTAGACTGGCTCAGGGGCTACCTAGGTGCCCGACTAGACTGGCCCAGGGCTGGTATACCACCGTGCAATGCATGCCACGACCATATCTGTGCTGGCGTCCAGCGCCGACAGCGAAGCGACCAGGCCAGCGGTGCACCGTAGTTGGCGGCTGCACGTTGGACCCTAGCCTGACGGGCCCAACCACGCGGTGGGCTGCAGCCTCGCAAATCTGCAGCTCCACAATGGGTCGCGCTGAACCGAACCCAGACATAACACGGGCCACCAGCGACGGACCCATGAACACGGTGAACCATAGGCGTCACGGGGGGGGGGGGGGAGGGAGGGGGAGGGGACTCACAGTTGCGATGACCAGCCGTCGCCAGCCGGCCGGGTCGAGTTGGAGAACAGCGCCACTTCTGTTCCCGTCTCCGTCCCCACCTCATTGTCAGCGCTGTCCCCGCCGCTGTGGGCACGCGGTCCACACGTGAGGGGTCCTCAGTGGGGAGGCGCATGCGCGACTCAGCAACGAACAGTCTCGGACATCCAACATTGTAAAGAGAAGAAGGCTGGTTCAAAAGCTGGCCGCCATCTTTGCCTAAGCCGCATACACACATGATGCTCTGTAGGAATGTGGGTCATAGTCGTAAAGAAGACGGCACGGTGTCTTTATATAGGGGGAGTGAGTGGCCTAATTATAGGACTTTGTTGTTTCTTTCGAGAAACATCAACGCTAGCCAGTGTCGTCCATAAGAGGGTTAGAATGAAGCTGATATGTGGGGCGTGTGTGTGGGGCGTGTGTGTGGGGCGTGGTGATGGTGGTGGAAGGGGGAGGGGGTGATCGATTTGTCGAAGGTATCAAAACCGAATCAATCTGTGCTAGATGAAACATCATCCAGAACGGTGTCCCGATTGCCATCCGCGTGCCAGAAAATCTCCAGTATGCCGGTGCCGAGGACAAGAGTGAGACGTGCGTGGGAATGGGAACGTGTACTCACAGGAGGACGGTGTTGACGACTTCGCCCAAGAGGCCGTCTCGGTGCCGCGGAGCCCCGGACACCTCACACATGAGTCGTTGCAGGCACGCCCGGCCGTCCAGCCCCACCCTGGAGGCGGGGTCAGGCGCTGACACCACCGCACCGAGAGAGCGGCGCTGGTCAGGCCGGCCGCCAGAAAAGGCGCAGCAGCGGACTGGCTCGAGCGTAAGAGCGGCTTTTAAGCAGAGGCAAACGATGATCCCGCCTTTCCGGCCGAACGTTACCAATTGAAGCAGAAAACCCAGATGTGATGTGTGACGTAATGCGACACGCCGCAATGTGGTGTGTTGCCAGGTACTGGCGCGACATTTCAGACAACTGCACCAGACACGCGGGTGAGTCGAACACGTGAAAGGCTCATTCACGTCGCGCGGAGGCCAACGTTGAGCCGCCGCCCGCGCTTGGAGGCTGCTGGTGAGCGCGCGCGGCAGCACCGCTGAGCCATTCGCGGTGAGTAGCCTCTCCTGATCGTGGCTTTCCTGGCTGCCCACGGGATGCTGCGCCCAGACAGTCGCCCCGGCGGGCACAGGTTACTTCTCGCTGACCCGCCGCGGTCACAGGTCACGGCGGATGTAAATATGGCCCGGGAATTTCGTATTTCTTCCTCTGTCGTCAACATTTCACACCTTAGGTCGTGTTTATGTCCATAACTGTGCAATCTAATGACTTCCTCAGCATGTTCGAAGGATAGAGACTGCTTCAGCGCTTACTGCGCTATTAACGACGCTGGGCCTGTTAGTGGTTTCGGTGTTAGCAGCGTTATTTGTGAATTATACGGCCCAATGTTTTACTAGTCCTTGACTTCCGTTTAATATAACTGCGTAACGCCAAAGGTGCTTATAAAATTAACGTCGTGAGCGCTCGCAGCCGTTGCAATGGTGGTCGAGTGCCAAGATTATATTGGGTCAAAGCAGTCTGCAAGAGCGCCATATACACATCGTGACAGGCATGCCGTTGGTGACGAAAAGCCATTAAATCTCAAGGTCATGCTGAGTCAGATACTAAAAATTGCCTTCCTAAAAATTAACGGTTTTTAATTTGTTTACGTGAGGGGTGAACTTGGGCAATGCATGAACCGCGTCGTGCTACATCCATGCATGTATCTTGTAAAAGCGTTGTCAACCAGGGTCAAGGTCATGCCATTTCATGTGGTTGCTTCAAATGACCACGCGGTATACCCTGAAAGAACACCGTGCCATGTCTTGAGTCAACACAGTTCTACTCAGCGCATAAACCATGTGCTAACAAAAACCATGAGAAAAACAACAAACAAAACGACCTGTTACTTCGTTTGAATTTACCCGGCTGTGTCCGTGTGAGATAGCTTACACAGATTGGAGAAGAAGAAAACATGTGGATCCTACGCCGGGCTACCAGCGTTTTTTTTTTGCGGGGAGGGGGTCTAGCACATCAAGACTGGAATCAGCAGGTCGTTGTCGTTAATAGCACCACCGGGAGATAGCACCCGCCTACGTCATGGAGGGTGGCGACGTCGCCTAAGCTGGTGAGAGACAACCATATATGCCTCTGCACTGAATCCCCTTCCAACGTCCAATGGCGTTCGTTGTGACAGATGAAGTCACCAGGTCACTATCAGCGACCGGAGGACGGTCAGCGTGACTTCCCTATCAGACAGCGGCTGCATAAATCACAAACGGGGCGACACTCCAGCTAATAGACAGGAGATCAGTGCCAGCGACGTTATCTGTGCCATCGAAACTTCCTGATAAGTAACTGTATTGCAGGCACGCAGACCTAACAAGACAGCTAAGCCAACGGCCGATATAAATCAGCCAATCAGGGCGTTGCGACGCAGAAGTGCGTCAGGTTCGTGCTAGGAAACAGCTATAATGTGGAAGTAGATCTTAACACCCGCAAACCGTTTAAGATATCGGCCTTCTCCGTGAGAGGAGCGGCAGTCCCTTCAGGCGCACGAAGCTGGCAACCGATATAGAGTCCCAACACACAGGACAACGCGGAGATCCTGCGACAGGTCCTCAGATTCCGACGCAGGTAAGGAAGACACCGGATTCAACGAATTATCCTTTTAACCCAACAAGTTTTGTCTTACATGCTAGAAGCTAAGACAGCTTACTTCTGACGCCCATACAGCGCGGTTAGTCCTGCGTGTAGCGACATATGAGGAGAAAGAACGTTGGAGCCCACGCTGATGGGACCGCGTTCATTGCCCGAAGTGCCTACCTTCCCATGCCCTAGATGCCGATGCATCGCATAGTGACATGAACTAAATCGGGAAAAATGGCTATATCGTTAATCACAGGAGACAACACTGAATTAAAAGTGGAAGACAAGTTGTAAAGCTTTGCCAAAAAAGCCACTTCAGCATCTAAGAGTTCGCGCTGAAAACGCTAAACATGGATGTATGGACCGAATTTAACTCACTTCCGCACGCAGGCACTGTTTCTCCGAGCCATCACAGCTTGCTATGAGCATATTCTAACCGATTCAATGTAAGACGACTGCGACCTGCTGAAACTGCGCCGAAGCCGTCTGACGGTTCCCGCTGGTTACGTTTATTGCGTGCATTCAGGGACGGATCCAGAGGGGAGGGGGGCACGGGATCATAGGGGGCCGACGGGCCCCTTTGGGGCCCGTCGGCTGCGAGGGGCCCCACAGCCTGCCGAACAGACGCAGTTTTTTATTTACGCAGAACGCAACAATATTGGACGTCTTTGGGCATCCAGGCGAAAAGTGAAGGGCCCACAAGCAGACAAGAATTATTATTCAGTGACTGAGAGGGTGGTGATTGGGAGGTCTTAAGACTGCTGACGCTGTCCAGGTGCCCTACGTTGTTTCTGGGGGCCCTATATGTCCACTTACGGGTCAACCTGATCGTTAAGGAGTCTTCCATGTTGCCCTTGATTTCTTTGCATCTGCTCGGGGGCCTGCGCTCTTGCCAGTCCTTCCTGCTAGCGTGCCGGGGCACTCCTTGTCAATCAGGGACCTTCTACAGATTCTTTCTATTTGGCCGTAACGTTCTAGACGCGGGGCCAAGGGCCCACATGTTGACATGCCAGGGTATTTCTTGTTTGCTCAGGGGCCCCTAACGCTGGTCACGGTTAGCCTGCCGGCACAATCACGAAATACATGCTCATGGGCCCTCTGCATTGGTCCAGGGCCCTTCCAGTTTTATGCCACTTGCTTCGGGCCCCACGCAGGGCCCTGAGCCCTTGTCTGGGCCCGTCCGTTGACCCATTTGGGCCCACTCGATCGCTCGGGGCCGTCCGAGTTGGGTATTGGTGCTCCTTTTTTAAATGGGGGGCCCTATGCGCTTGTCGGGGCCCTTATCTGTCAACCTGCTCAGGCGCATTGGATTGTCCGGGGACCTTGCACATTGGGTTTTGGTATTTAAATGTAGGGCCCTACGTTTCTGTCGGGGCCATCTGACAGCCTGCTTGGGTACACTCGATGAAGCCCGTGAGCAGACAAACTCATTACGCTGTCCAGAGGCGTTACAATCGTCCAGGTGTCTATCACAATGGTCCTGTGTTCTTCTCGCTTGCTTTGAGGACCCGTACTAGTTGACGGAAGCCTCTTTGTTGGTCTTGCCGGCACTCATGATCGCACACGTTTCGTCGCTCTTGGTCTTGGTGCCTTGGCCTTAGAGCGGCAGTCGGATTTGCGCCGATGAATTTTTACGCGCAATTGTCGAGCATCCGACGTCGTATGTGATATTTCGGTTAAGTATTGAATTTGTTATGCCTTTTATGCTTGTGCATCGCATTCTTATTCGTTTTATATGATGCATTTTAATGCTTGGATATTTTCTATTCCTTCGTAACACACAAACCAAAAATTCAGCATTAGTCATCAGCCATCAGCTGGTCACAAGTCATCAGCCATCAGCTGGTCACATCGACCAGCAGACCAGCTGTAAATACGTTTGGAATCAGGTTCGTGCTTGACGTTAATGGTGTTTAGCAGCCAATTTAAACAATTGCTATTTTTTCCGAAAAACTTAGCCTCAAATGACAGAATTTACCATGATTTGGAGAAAACGAATAAATCCCAAGTATGGGCATACGTAGCACGTCTAGTTTTCTAGGGATGCGCGCAGTAAAATGGGTTTCCGTGTAAAAATAACATGTTGAAAATCTTAGTACTCGATGGCCGGCCTTCGGTGATTTTTTTAGGGAAGTCCTTAACTCCGTGGGGGCCCTAAATGTTGAGTGGACCCCACCTTAACGAAGTCCGTGATCCGCCCCTGCGTGCGCTTATGTGCCCTGCTCATCGTGCAGTTGCATTATGCAATGCGTCGTATCTTAGTATCTCGGGTGTTAAATGTGAAACATCTCTTCTGCTAACGTCGTAGTCACCACTTTCTAGCCCTTAGTCCTCCACAACCCCATGCACTTATCCGGACCTGCAGGCGGATGCGGACGCCGACACGTGCCCGGTGTCAAGATCACGCGAGCCTGTGGTCCAGGTCGTCGGAGTCCGGGGTCCAGGTCACGGTAGCCAGGTGTCGAGGTAAAGTGAGCTCAGGGTGAAGGTCACGTGAACCAGGGGTCGAGGTCATATGGAACCGAGGTCGAGGCCACGTGAGAGCGGGATCGAGGTCACGTGAGACCGGGGTCCAGGTCAAGTGAGTCCGGGGTCAAAGTCACGTGAGCCCGGAGTCTAGGTCACGGGAGCCCGCGTCAAGTCGGGAGTCGAGGTCACGGGAGACTGGGGTCGAGGTCGCGTGGACTAGGGGTCGTGGTCACATGAGCCCAGTGCGCCAGTCTTCCACTGTCTGACTTGTTCCGCCGGGCCACCCGACACGCTGCGGTCACCAGTGCGAGAACAAGGGAACGGAGGCGCTATCCACCGGATTCCGATCGTTCGGCAGTACCGCGGCGACCTTCAGTCCTCGCCCATACAAAGGCACGGCGTGGGAGGGCGCCGGGGCGTCTATCTCTCGCAAAAGAGCCGCTCAGGATGTGCCTCGGGCCGGCGACCAATCAATGCCGAACATGTCGCCGCGGCTAATGGACACTTGATGGCACTCCAATAGACTGTCTAGTGGTTTGATGTTGACACGGCTCTCATTTTCGATCGGAGCCTTAAAGAGGCCCCGCAGACACTGTGAGGAAGAGTTGACAATCACGTAGGGGGGAGGGGTAAGAGTGGTCGCCTTCAGTCTGTTGCTATTAGCAAAACACAAAGAGGCTTTTATTCAACTGAGAGCGGCCGGAGAGGTAGGTAAATTCGCTATCTTGAGGCATGCCGGGCAGATCAGTGAACCCTGCAAGGGAGCGCACAGAAAGACCCCCTTCACCAGGGGGGAATTTCCTATTCAGTTGGGGAGGGAAGGGAGGGGCCCCAGCCCCCCCCCCCCCCCAACTTAGGCTCCAGCCTCCTAACTTTGAGAAGAAAGTGGGCCAAATTCTGGGAGAAACTCGTCTGTTGGCGTATTTCGAGGTAAGGTTGTAACATTTTTTGCTTCTCGGTGTCCCCCACAACTCATTTTGCGAAACTCTTCCCCTGCTCTTCATACTGAACGTGCGCAAGTGGGAGAGTAGCGATGATGGCCTTTCCAAGGGCGTGGCATGACAGCAGCGACCGAACCATCCCACGCACAACCGCCCGGTAGGCTTTCAGTCGATAACCTTCCATCAGAGTTCGTCTCAAAGCCGGTTTAATTTTAGGTTGAGCTTTTAACACATCAAGTGCTCTGGCGTGCTAAACTACCTAGATTACAATAACTTATTGCAACACGCCTGCCAGTCGCCCGAGAAGAGCTTGCACGCAGTGCTTTCTCGGCGGAGCTACGACCTGACCTCCAGGCTCCGTCAGCGGGGACACGAGCCGCCGCCGCCGGCGGGGCCACTCACTGTCTGAAGGCATCGCCGACGGTGTCGAGCAGGCGGCTGCGGTCGGCGGCGAAGCTGCGCCCCTCGTGGGACCCGTACTCGTGCCGAGTGATCGTGGTCGGCACGAACGTGATGGACGGCGAGAAGGTGATGGACGCGCCCGAGCTGCCCACCGGGATCACGAAGTCGACCGTCACCGTCACCGTCGAGCCCGACGGGAAGTAGATGAAGCGTCGCACGCGGCCGGCGCGCGGCTCGGCCCAGGCGCCGTCGGCCGACGCCGTGCCGTTCTCGGGCGCGCCGCCGGCGAGCCCCGTCAGCAGACCTGCAACACGCCGGGCCGGAGCAGTGCGGCGGGTCAGGGGCAACGCGCCTTGTCAAGCCAGCATCCTGCAGGTCGGCCACCGCGTGCAGGGGTACGGGCAGGCTGAACGGGAGGCACCCGGAGCCGCGGTCGCCATCGAGCGCTAAAGCGTGAGGCGACGGAGAAAGATGAGGAAAGAAGTTGCTGAGGACCGTCACATGGGGTCAGCTGGCGCAAAGCGCAAACGTTCCCGCGGCGATGAGACCAGTTGTAACGGCCTGATATCGTATCAGTTGTGTTCGACTCTGACAGCTACTTTGGTGTGAAATGCGACGCTTACCCAAGCCGCAATCACTGCAAGTTGTAAAAAAGCGATTTATCACCGAACTGTGCTCATCACATCGGCACATGCGGTTAGGAATGACGCGGCGCTATCGGCTTCGGTAGCTAATCTGCCGGAGCCGATATCAGTTCTCTCTTCGTTAGATAATGCAAAAAAACACGCGACCGAGAGCGCATCGCGGCCAATCTGTGCTTTCACGCGAATTCAAGGCTCTTGTTCCGCCATTAAGTAGCGATGGGCAAAAGCCGAGCTTCATAGGCATTGAGTGGGCACGGGGAGGAACGCGAATAAAAACAATATCGCATTTCTGGGGTTTATAGCGAGTTTCACAAAGTCCAAAGTTTCGATGGGGATCTGAAACAAAGCCGCAAGAAGAGGAGGCCTCCCCCGGAAAATGATACAATCATCGAACCGCCTCGTCAGGCACGGCTGAGTACCACTCTGCGCTGATGGGTTACCCCAAACGTGACCGACTGAACCCTTACAAGGACGGCGAACACACAAAGGCATCAAGTGCCAAGCTCAACGGGCGAGGGTGACAAGCCTAGCACCAGATACACAAGTGATCATCATCGAAGAAGATCACAGAAGTGATCGAAAGGAGAGTCTGACGAGAACTCGTATCGAAAGGCTGGCGAAAGGATCAGGCCAAAGCGAAGTGGAAACACAGCTGAGCGGTCAACGATTACGCTTTCAGTGGCATCTTCGTGCAGCGCATGCACCCAAATCAGGTCACTAAAGTCAGTCTCACGCGCCACTTGAAATCCGATCCGCAGACCGGAGACCAATCTGTTCATGCACCGGAGGAGACTGGACCAGAAACACTCACAGACAAGGACGCAGACGAGAGCTGAGGACACCATCGCGCCCGGCGCGTCCGTCTCGTGGCAGCAGCAGCGCGGAGCAGCCGGCACGGACACAGGAGCCCCGTCTCGTGGCAGCAGCAGCGCCGAGCAGCCGGCACGGACACAGGAGCCCCGTCTCGTGGCAGCAGCAGCGCCGAGCAGCCGGCACGGACACAGGAGCCCCGTCTCGTGGCAGCAGCAGCGCCGAGCAGCCGGCACGGACGGAGGAGCCTTGCAGCGCCTGGCCGTCTTTATAGGGCGTCGCCATCAAGATGGCACGCTGCTCGAGTTTTCCCTTCGGACGACGTTTGGGAGCGTGCGGCGGTTTTTGGGCCGACGGCGGCCGGTCACGGCGCATGCCCGCGGGCCTGATGGTGCGTATACGCGGGTCACGCGACTCCGGCGGCGCACTGGCCGGGCCTTCCACCGCCAACGGCGGGGGCAAGCCAACAGGTGAGCCGGCGCGGCCCGGTAACCGACGGCACAGCTGGGTAACGGTCGTCTCGTCGGTGCGTGGACGTGGCTAGGGCAACGGTATTCCCCTCCCCGGTGGATTGGGCTGGTCTTGTGCGGCGACACGTGTTTAAGACATGTGGTCGTGTCGGCATCAACTCTGAAGGACCACGGCTCATGGGCACAGCTTTTTCACACACGCATGCCAATTCAAGTTGTTGCGAGCTCCCAAACGTGTTCATTCGGACTCAGTCATATCCAGTAGCATTTATCGCATATTGTTGACGCCGTAAACACGACCTAGCCCTTCATACGTGCGGCGCTGCGTTTGCATACTTTGCCAATGAAAACTATAAGCAGACTCAAGAAGAGGTCAATTGGAATTTGCTTGCAAAGGCCTGGCAACCATAAGCTCTGTCACAACTCGCACATCATGTTTCCGGTAAGAGAACCGGGCTGGCCTATCCCAAACAATTAGCTAAATGTCAGTGCTTCGGTCTCATTAAAGCACTTGTGAATGGGGAGCACTTATCTTGTGGCCTCCCCGTCAAAGAAATTTAAATATTCTAGACCCACGCGGCAAGACGACCTTAGCAGCAGTCGGTACCTTACGTGGGCAGGGAGTCTCTGCGGCCGTGTTTCCGTGCAACAAGCCAGCTCTAAAGTCAGCCAGCTGTCTAAAACTCAGAGCCTCACGAAAGGAGCGACAGGTTTGATACCACAAGGGGTACGATAACACGGAGATGAGAAAGACCGCAGCACGAGCGAATTGTTCGAACCGATCGATATAACTTGACAAATAGGTGCATTCCTTTCACGCGTCAGCGACTCTGACGCTCGCGGACAAAAAGCTTGGCAAGGCTTGCCACGTGAGCGACCTCTGCGGAAGGCACCGGAAACCAAGCCCTGCGATAGTATCGTGCGTCATTAGCCTGGCCGCCCGACCGACCCGGACTTTCACCTCCAGCCCTTGACGACCTCAGGACGGTGACTCAGTCATGTATGCGCTCCTATCACCGACGAGGTGTAGCTGGACGTTGTCGAAGCGCCAAGGACTAATGTCCAACTTCCTCCGAAAGTTTCAATCCCTCGTACTTTTTAGTACACTGCGCAGCCCGTGTACGCATTTTGTGGAGTGGTCGCCCGTCGTTGGGTGGTGTCCACAGCAACGCATGAAGGTCCGGCTCCTGCCCGTCCAAGGTCCGCACGCGTCAACTGAAGAGACGGGCTTAGTCCGCATCTTCGCAGAGATACGGTGGCTGCATTAGCAGTTCATAATCTCAGTCATATGTCAGCAAGCTGAGCTCGAGGGAATTTTATCTCAGCCTGCGCTACTGCTATCAGAGCAGCCTCGCCATCGCTTCTTGGAAGAGGCGGCAGGGCCGTGCCGACTCTCGCCACTGTTTCCCGCTCCGGCGTAATCACGCCGGAGCGGGAGATGATCCGAAGTGATTCACGGTCAGGGTCGCGGCTCCGGCTCCTGACCGTCCGGGAATCGTCCTCGCCGGGAGGTGGCTGGGACGTTCGTCGTGGACCTGCAGGAACGTTCGACTTTGGTCGAAACCGCTCGCCTTATACCGGAGGGCATGGATCTGGGCTGAACGGATGAAACCTGAATCAGGAGGAGACAAATGACAGTTGGGAGCCGCGAAAGTCACAACGAATAAGTGAAATAAAATCTGGAGAGGACAAAAAACCATTTTGGGAACAGGATGGCATACCCCCCTTGGTTTGACCTATAGCCCTAGCTGACATACCCCGAATCCGAATGACAAAATCGAGTCAAGGGGGGTGTCTTATCGGGTCAGACACGGCACGCACGCCCGCCTGAACTGAGGTGCGCAAGCGACGGAAACACAGCAAACGCGCAAAGGCGACACTTGGCGCAAACAGTTCCAACGCACGCTTATGAGTGTCTACGTTATCACTGAGACGGGAACACGCTTTTCTGAACGCCGACTTTCCGCCGTTCAGAAAAGCGTGTCCCCGTCTCAAAATAGATTTGAAGGGCGATTCAAACAACTGTAACACAGTCGATTGGTACAACCCGCCCCATCATTCGCCCGTCAGTGCCCAAAGCGCCAACGCCATCCGGTCTTCCAAGGCGCTTCCCACAGCCAGCCGAACGCCGCGGGCACGAGACTGGTCCGTCAGCGCAGACGGCGCCATGTCATCACCGGATAACGATCTCCGCCGTCCGGGCGCGCCAGGCAGCGGCCGCCGTCGGGCCTGGCCTGCGCCGCCCGCCTGAGCCGGCCCCGTCCGGAGATCAGCGCGCGCCCTCGCCGCGCGATGCGCGTCACGACAGATAGCGCGCGCCGTCCTCGCCTCAGGCGGCTTTCGAGGCGCATTCGGGGGGATTACGGGCGGGGGCGGCGGCGCCGGCCTCCAGGCGGGGTCAGCGAGCCGCGCAGGGAGGGCCGGGTAAAAGTTTCCCAAAGTGAGGGGCGGGGTTCTGAAACGTACATGAAAATGATGAAACCTACCCTCAGATTTGACCAACAAACGGCGTTCTACCCGGATTTGACACCTTTTTCTCGTAGAGTTGGGAATTCCTAAACTGCACGGGAAAATCCGCCTCCGGACGCACGTGTTGCGCGACACGCCACGCAGCTCGGTGCAAATCACGCAGGCCACGCAGCTGACTGACAGCCGGTGCCAGCGGGGCAACCATGTTGAATGGGACACTAGTTCCAACGTAGCTTAAACAAACAATTCATATTCAGGGAGAAGCTTCAGAGAGCTTAGCAAAGGTTGAAAATAGTTTTGAGCTTGATGGCGTGCCCGGCATGACGATAAAGACATGTGGTAGTATGCTACGCCTCTCCAGAGCACGTATGACAGGAACAAAGATGCATTACGAGACCGGCGGTAGAAAAGGAGCGCCAACACGAGCCGCTCAGGCCCGCGATAGAGAACGGGCTGGGACAGTGCTGCGCTACACCTGAGTGCAATAAAACACAGCCATCATTCAGGCAACAACGTTTCCATTCGGCCGGCTGTGTCACCCTCAACGCCTTGTAGACTGGAGAGCACACCACGCGAGCCAGCCCCAGCCTCGCTCGGGTACCTCTCACACCAGATGGACACGCTTCAATGCCAGAGTGCGCTCTTTACTAACTCGGAACACTCGTCGAGTTTCCGAGTACACAGGTAAAAACCCTTCAACACATGCACTCCGAGGGACGTCATCAATTCTTGACGATGAACTTCTGAATAGAGCGGGTGACACGGCGCCAGAGCACGCGACGCAATAAGGCGCTGAAGTGGGAGGCCCCGGCTGCAGATGAGAGGCGTTCGACACGCAGC